CCCCCCCCCCCCCCCCCCGACAACCCCACCTCCTCCACTCCTTACCATCGTTAGCCCCTGCTATTGTCAGCCCCCAATGCTGCCTTCCCCTACTCTTTGTTGAGCTCCTCTTGTTATCAACTCCCTCCCTAGCATAATTGTGTTAATTGTTGTTAACAATATTATAATAGTTAATTCTTATTAATAATAGTTTACAATTATATTAATTATCAAATTTATTACTGCTAAAATTTTAAATTCACTATAGTTTTAGGATCATGATTTTTTTATTTGTCCCTTTAGTTTTAGGATCCTGAATTTTGAATTGTATCAATTCTTCTTTTATTTTGACATTTTTGTTATTAGATTTGGATAATTTAACACTTAATGCTTTCTGATTAAATGAATGTAATTTTATGTTTGAGTGGTGATATTTTGAATATGAAATGATATGGAACTCATTGATTATCTAATTTTTATTTTAATAATTATCTTTCTCTCTAATTATTTTTTATATAATTCTTATATTAGTGAGTGCGTTGCTTCACTCAAGCAAGCGCCTAACGTCTTCAGTGTTTTGGAACCTTGCACCTTTTATAACACTTTGTCATATTTCTTCTAGTTCGAGTTAGGGGTGGACACTTACATATTATTTAAAATTAGAATAAGCATACAATCTTGACACTTATCTTTATTGAATGATATGTACATAAAAAAAGATCAACATATTATGCACTTCAAAAGGTGAAGCACAAGCAACAGATTCAAGAATTACAACATAATATACCATATTGTATTGAAGAATATTATACCAAGAATTTAAATCTCCATGTGGTACCAATTAGGCTAAGTATGATACCAATATGATAGACAATATAGCAGCCAGCATGTCAATATTCATTAAAAAAATATATATCTATCTACATGGACTGATACTAGTCTGATAGATACCAGTCAATACATACTATTCCGACCAGTATTTGTTTTCTTGATTGATACTTCAAATCTTTCTTCTTATTACATTAGTAACACACCAGGGCATACTATACTGATATCTCAGTGCATTTTATGATAGGGACTAGTATGCATGAGATTTGATTTATTGGGGTGTATAAGCAAATTGGCATTCCTGAAAATCAGTTATGCAATTTGGATTTACAACACATTATTTATTGGCTCCTTAAAAGGTTGGAAAGATCAAGTACAAGACAATTTAGATCAACCAAAATTAATTAACATAATTGAATAATCATGTAAGGACCTAATTTTTTTGAAGTCCGTTTAGGCTTGACATGTGAATGCCACTTGAGTGTATGGTGCAAAGCTCAAATAAAGAACGGGTTTTGGACAAAAAATTTTAATTAAACACTGGGAAAACAGGTTTTGGACAAATATTTTTAGTTAAACACTGGTAAAGAGGGGCAGATATAGGATTTGAACTCATGACCCGATCTAAAAAGGACATGAGTTCAAATCTTATATTTGCCCCTCTTTCCCAGTGTTTAATTAAAAATATTCATGCAATATCCATTTATTTGATATTCCACCATACACTCAGGTTACAAACTTAAAGCCTAACCGACTTGCTTATGAGACGGATGATACTTTCCTATAGATTAAAGCTTTTGCTTGTAATGGCAATGATCAAAATTTTAAGATGGCATATATTGGGCTCTCTCACAAGCAAGCCGATTAGTCTTGATGTGTGAATGGAACATGATGTATGGTGCAAGCACAAAGGAAAATGGGTAGTGTACAAATATCTTTATCTTTAATTAAACACCGGAAAAAGGGACAAATATAGGATTCGAATTCATCATACATTATGATATCATCTTAACTTTTTCATCAATACCATTACATCTAAGAACTTAAGTTGATTATATGCTTTAACATGTTCTCATGCAAACTAGTTTCTGAATTCAATAAACCATCATTCAAAACTGCAGGCACTAGAAATTTGTGTTTCCTGCAACTAAAAATCCAAATGAATAGCACAATTATCAAATTGCTCAACTAGCACCAACTTTTAGTTGATTGATCATTACAATTATATATAGTACATGGAACACTGTAGTTGATTCAGACATGGATAGCTATGAACTAATTACCCAACTCACCCGATAATTACACTGCATTATTGTTGGGCATATCATAATGTTGGTCACCAACTTTCCATTATAAAATTATTATTATTAGCATAATTGTATAAGATCTTTTATAAAATTGACACTACTAGCATAATTACATCAGGCCTTTTTACATGACAAGATTATACTTGATGATGCACTGCATAAACTGATATTAGAGATGGCATAAACTTCCTTATAAACCAAAAAGGAGGAACCAAATAGTCTATACACGATAGTGATAAACAGTACTCACCAGAAATAATTGAACTCTCAAGCCCGAGTTCATCAATTGTCCTGAACCATTAAAACAAGAAAACTCATTGCAACAACAGTTCAAGAACAATCAAAAGAACAACTATAAGCTGGAGAAAATATTAAAAGAATTCATACTTGAGATGCAACTCTTTCACAAAGCTTAATTCATGCAATTCAGATACATTAGAAACACCACAGCAGACCGCCTTTGTTCCAGCCTATTAGCAAACATAGACTACACTAAGAAATTCATCCAAGGCTGAAGTCAAAAGATAAGAAAAAAATGGGCATATTACCAGCAAAAGATTGTTTGTCGTCTTGCCCATGGCGGAGAGCACGATCGCTGGTTGTTCTTCCGGAAAGCTAAGAATGAGGTCCGCAACCTCTTTCATCCTCTCAGCTGATGCCACCGATGACCCACCAAACTTCATCACGATGCTGAGTTGCTCAACATTACTATCAGCCCCTTGCCTCAAGACAGCATCTTTCTCCACAACGGCAGAAACCCTTCTCTCGCAGCACACCTTCAAAGCTCTCCTCTTTCCGCAGATCCCCTCCCTCTTCCTACAGAATGACCTCGACGACAACGCAAAACTGACCTTACTCTGGAAGCTCGTTGAGAAAGCAAGAGAAGTCGACAAGTCCAATTTAACCACACCGCAACAGGACCCGCCACCAAACTGCGCAACTACCGCCATTGCTGGGATCAAAAGTGAGATTTTTTTTCCCCCAATCCTGCATCAAAAATCAAGTTAAGATGATCCATGACATGATTCTAATATTAAAATACACATTTTTAATTCATCCCACTTCCGATTCAAAGATCGAAACCCAGAAATGGACCCAAAACTTGAAAAAAAACAAAAAAAAAAGGAAAATCTCCACAAAAACGTGTCACGAATTGAAAGCTTCGTCGGAAAGTAATAGCAAAGTAAGGCCTAATTCGTTACAACGGGCAAGATCGGGGAGAACGGAAAACATCACGAGAGGCGCTAACCATACCTCTGGAGCCTAAATGGGGGAAAGCGAGCAGACAAAAAGGGGTTCTGGACCAGGGATTCAATCTGTTGTTATTCTCCCTCTCTTCTCCTCGCGCTTCCTCCGATGACGAGGAAGACGATGAGGCAGAGAGAGGGAGCGAGGAGAGCGAACGCGGCGGCGGAACTGGGAGATGGGCGGGACATGAATATAGAGGAGAGAGAGGCGAACGACGCGGCCGCTTGTTTTCGGAAACGACGGTCGAGATCAGAGTCAAGAGGTGGGGGTCCACGAATCGAAGCGGGATGTGACGGCTTGATGCGGTTAGCCACACCGCGAGTAAGCAGATCGAAACGTATAACGGGAATTTGGCGCGCTGAGGGACGGTTTCCGTGCATGGGGCAGAAGTCCCGTCACCTCCGGCGAAGGACCGACGCTGCGTATGGGTGTTTCACAACCAAAAAAAGGCAGCACCCACACGCCACGTCTTCGACGAGGTTGGTCATCGCAAAGTCACCATAGCTGGTGATCTTGGTCAACATCGTCGGTCAGGAAGGTATACTCGTCAAACCTGAGAATTATCGTTGATTTTAAAATGTTTTATTTTTTACGGGACAAGAAATCCAAAATAATGATTATTAATCAAGTAGAATAAAGAGAAATCGCCAATTTATTTTTCACTTATTCCGAATCACTCTGATCTAATCGGACCAATCAACTATTTTCGAATCCGATCGAGTTGATCTGTTAGATTCCAAATTTTTGATATTTCCGATCCAATAATAGAAGTGAATTAGTCCCGATGTTTATTGAAGTGAATTGGTCAAATTGATCATTCTATAAGGATGACAGGAGGCAAACATCGTTTATTGAAAAATCTTTACAAGTTCGCACGTTAATTTGATGTGAACTTGTCTTCATGCCTGGCACTCGATGAGCAGTTATCTGTGGACTTACAACTATTTGTTCTACTTTTTAAAGTTCTTATTTTTCTCATTCTTCTTTTTTTCTTATACACGAGGTGTTTGTTGAATTGTTTGTAAAGCTTTCCTTTCTGCGAGACGTCAAGACTTATTCGCTGCTCATTTTCAAACTAATCAACTTTCTCTTTTATATGTCTTTCGGGACTTGAGTGAGATTACAAATTGGTTGACCTTTGCGGACACATATTATAATGGCACGTCATGACTTAGTCAATCCTAACTAAGTCTGAGAAGTTTACGCAATGATGATTCACAACTTAGACAACTCAAGCTAAGTTCGCATCTTGACCATAAATGTGTCTCACGACTTAAAACATTTCAGTTAAGTTCGTGATATATATATATATATATATATATATATATATATATATATATATATA